CCCCCCCCCCCCCCCCCCCCCAATCCACCCACACAAAAATCATCACCACTAGCCTGCTCTCTCTCTCTCTCCCTCAACTCCACATCCATTTCCAACCCCAGCACCACCAACCAGCAGCCAAACGTTTACTGCTAATAAAATAGGTCATACCTGATCAATTACCAGCATGCCCACTCCATGCACACAAACATCATCACCACTGTCCTGCAGGAATCATTCAGAAGCTCGAAAATAAAAAATAGTGGTATTTGATAGTGACAACATATGGAGGCAGGGAAATATTCATCACTACCACCTCCTGACTATCAGTCAGTCCCAACAAAAACCCAGCAAAGATCATCTACCCATGCCAGTGCCACCATGGAATGCATTGAACCTCCACCGCCCCCGCCAACCAAAAGGCCCATAAATCAACAGTATCCAACTATTCCTAGATAATCGCCTAGCCATCACCACTGACACGGTTATGAAAGCACATCTTCCTCCACAATTCGTCATATATCCCATTGCTCAGGACCAACCCTCTCTCCCTCCTTTAAAGGCTGCAAATCTCCAAATCTAATTGCAAATAAAAGGTAGCCTGGGTTCTTGAGTTACTGATTAATCCAAGAAGCATAAGAAAGAAATGTGGAATTGGCTGGAAAAAGGCGTAATACTATGTTCGTTTGCAGACCATGAAATTGTAGTAAAACAGTCCAAAATGGAAATACAGACATTCAAATTCAGAAAGATGAAGTATATTACTATATTAGATTTAAATATTCTTAGCCAATACAAATGACCCCTAAACTGCAAAAATGCATATCCTTTAGCAGTAAAACTACACATCTTGACTGTTTCTTTAACTTCAAGAAAGGGTCTTGGATATCATAAATATATGTAAACCCAGAAATAATAAGTTTTGACGATCACAAAATGCCACAAAAAAATGAAAAACGTCCAGTAGTAGGCACAGTAAAAACTATAAGTAGATTACACTTAATTCCAGTAATTTGTTGGCACTTGAAAAGGTCCATCTAAATGACAGTCAAAACATTTGGCATAAAAAAAATTAATAATTCCCTCTCTTTTTATTGTTTTCTCTTGTTATGCTCTTTTTTTTCCTGACAACTCTTAGAATCAAGCAAAAATTGTAAATGCTGATTCAAACAAGCCCTAATTCCCCCGTCAGACATCCCAATTCATATCACCCCCAACCCAACAACTATTAACTAACAGGCCGAAAAGTGTATAACATAACAAGAACAGATCAGGAATTCAAGATTACATAATTTATAATCTCGAATCAGGTTGTATTACCACTAAACATGTTCCGCCATTAATTAAAATGCAAATCTGGCTTCTTTATGCTATCAAATAAAAAAGGAAAAAAAAACATAATGGCTATAGAACTGTGCGTGCATAGAAACATAGAGGTTCAAGTACCTGAAAAGAAAAGGGCCTTTAAATCATAGAAATGGCGGTTGTCGGCAAAAGTAGATATGGGATATAAATGATAGACAAGACGAGAGGATACAGAGAGAGCCGAGAGGGGAGATGAATATCAGAATATAAAATGAAATATTATAGATAGGTCCTTAACCTATTGAGTATGTAGCGAGTAGGCACCACTTTTCATTTTTTGTAACATTTGGATCTTCTTTGAACTTACCCTATTCTTTAAATGTAATTATATTGGCACTACAGTTTTTTGTTGCACAAATTTTCAATTATCGTGCTCATTGTTTGCTTACTATTGCACTTATATTCTCACTTTTTGATGTTTTTTTATAAGTGATCTTCTATTAATTAGTACATCTTATTCATGATGATCCTTTTTGTCCAAACGTACTATGTCTGAGTACTTTAAAAATTGAAAGGCAAGGATTTTATAGCATTTTTGTAATTATTGCGTGCTTTAAAATAACTAATTTAAAGGCAAATATTTTATCGTACTTTTATATATTTTTATATTTTTTATTTAGAAATATGAGAAAAATAAGTATTTTTGGATCTGATCGAACAAAAAGTGATAGATAGTGGAAGATTGATAATAAAATGCGATAAAAAGAAGTTGAGACAAGTGCGACAATAAATAAATATTAGAGAACTTTCATATAATAAAAAGAGATGAATATATCACAATACCGTTATAAAATTATAGAGAATGACAAGAATAAGAAGAGAGAAAAATAGAGAGTCAAAACTCAAATGTATTATTTTATTATGGCTGACGAGGATAAGAAGAGCAAAAAAATAGAGAGTTGAAACTCAAATGTGCCATTTTATTATGGTTGTATTTGAACTCCATTTTTCGGGGGAAATAAATATTGTAATAGTGATTTTTTTGGAGATTGTTCGGGTAAAAGGTATGGAAAAAATTTGGGTCTACTAGTAAAATTATTTTATTGAAAAAAATGTGTAATTACAAATAAGTTTGGAGAAAAATTAATTTTCAGAGAATATGGCTAAAATAGGGAATATAACAATAAACTCATATTTATAGGGTTCAAATGAGAGTAATAATCTGAATAGAATATATTATTCTAAAGTAAGACTCATCTAAATATCAAGACTAAATAATCAACAATATTTACTCATAAATTTACAAAAATCCTCATTCGATGTCTATTTGCATAATAATTGTCCGTTAAAACCTAGTATGACAAAATTTCAATGGAACAAAAATACCAAACAAAGAAAAAAGTATAAAATAACTATTACAAAATTGAAGTAATAAAATGTTGCCTCGTTAAAATCTTGTCAAGAAAAATCAAGGGCAAAATTTGAGTAAAGGAAAAGGAGTATAGCTACTATATCTGATTTCAATACATGAAAATTCTTGTATAGAATCCATGTCTTGTACGTAAATATTTTTAATTTCACAAGTTTAGTAGAATATGTTTTGTATTTTCTTATTATAGCCTTCAAACATTATCATCTTCTACCAGATATTTGTGTATCCTTATTTGATTTTAGCCAGTATGATGGTCCTTTGAAAAACAGATTTTGTTGTTGATCTATTTAGGAGTATTGTACACAATTTAGAAAATATAAGAGTATTATTGTGAGGATAAATATCTCGTAGGGTATGGACATAGGGATGGCAACTGGACGGGGCCCTTGCCCCCGTTTACTACATTGTTTAATTTTTTTTATTTTTTAAGTTTTTGATAATTTATTTTATTGCCCCCATTCATTAGATTGAGACAAATAATTTTAGTTGTCATTTTTTGTTAGAACTAATAAAATTTCGTGAAATTTTTTATTTAAAGTATTGAATTTTAAAAAAAAAAAATTTAAAAATTTTTAAAAAAAACTAAAAGGGGCGGGGCACCCTTTACCCGTCCCCGCCACAAGGCAAAATTCTTCGCCCCGTCCCCATCCCAAATGCTCGATTAAGCGGGTAATTCACACCTCATTTGGGGCGGGACCCCGCGGGTATCGGGTTTGTTGGATTTTTTTACCATTCCTATATGGACATTCATTATACTAATAATATGATTTGTTAAAACCTTAACAAAAAAGCTCTATTGAAAATTATAATTAAAAAAAGTACGTTATTCCTTTAAATAGCTATAAAAGTTTCCTCATTAATAACGCTGTCAAAAAATCTAGCAGGACAAAATCTCGATTAATGAAAAAAATAGTACAACATGTATTAGTCTCCCTCATCATAATATCACTTGAACTATACATTTCAGGTATAAAATTTCTCAATGACATAATTAATAATCATGCCAAATGAGATTACTATAATTCCATTTATTATATGCATATTAAATTTAATGTATTGTCAAGATAACAATATATAGATTTGTGATTTCATCCACCATATAGTAATTTATCTATTTTGCAAGTTTTTGCGGCATTCATTATACTAAGAGTCATGAATTACATGCTATGACTTTATTTTTTCCATTTACTTTTTATGTAAATATACAGAATTCAGTATTCGGACTGCAAGTTTAGAGACTTCAGATTTCTTCAATAAGTTTCATTTAAATAGGGTTGCATCTTTTTATTTGGTCAATCATTCTTTGATCTAAATGCATTGACGAATTCATATTGATATCATCGCAATTAATAATATGAAGTGGTACATCATTTACAAAAGTATCGTCTTTAACTTTAACTTTTTGATTCTGTATCTTATCCATAACAATATAACTTATTGAAATACGTCCACTTTAAACATTTCAAGTACTTGAAATTCTTTTGAGATTTTATAATTAATTATGTCCCTACGTTCTTCAAGAATATATGCTTCCTACTTGGGATCATCTCCCTCCTTTATTTGCTCCATTTTCTTTTGAATTTTTTTGATTTAGAATTAAATGTCATTACACTTCAGGCGAGCCATAGAATTATCAAATATAATCTTAACAAGTTATCCTCCCAGGATATCAATTCGAGTTAGAGCATTTAAAACTATTATATAAGATATTATTAATCTATTTGATCAGTAATGTATCTAAATGAATTATCTTTAGAATTTCTAGTCCGATTTGTCTTTTGTAATGATCTAGTTAATTTAATCACACATTATTTATATTATTTCCAACTTCTTGATTTCTCCCCCTAACACTAAGAAAATTATCCAATTAAATTAAGAGACAGCAACTCGTGTTATATAGTATCACTCAATAGGGTTTAAGATAATTTTACAAAGGTTCAAACTAAATATATACCCTTATCATTATTTAATGTCCATCTTAGTACATTGTTATGGAGCTATTGTATATTATTGCACTTTAAAAAATCATTAAATTGAAGTATTAGGCTCTGACCATATGCCAAATGTAACGGGAGAACTTTGATATTAATAGCATTCCTTAGATAGAAATATGAAGTACTTTATTCTCGATAGTAATGCTTTACAAATTAGTGCGTGTTTGGGAGGGATTTTTGGGGGAAAAATTGATTTTGAATAGTGATATGATGGGAAATGTGTGGTTGAAAAAGAAGAAAAAATTATTGATGTGATGGAAAATATTATTTTATTGAAGAATGTGTGGTTAAAAATGAGTGGGAATAATTGATTTTGAATAGTGTTATGGGAAATGTGTGGTTGAAAAAGAAGAAAAAATTATTGATGTGATGGAAAATATTATTTTATTGAAGAATGTGTGGTTGAAAATGAAAATTGATTTACTGTATAATTTTGAGAATCTCAAACAAATAGGGCCTTAATTGGAGAAATTTAATAAACAATAGTGTTAAATTATTCATCGACATCTCAACTAACTTTTATTTAAAAATGTCAAAATATAGGCTTACTAGCATTAACAAGATAAGCTAACTTTATTGTATAATCTGAAAATTTTGCTCATAATATAGAATTCAAGCAAGTAATCTCACAAGTTTCAGGTTACGAGTATCATGCAATCGTCTAATACATGTATCTATTAGATACAAATTATATCTA